ATGTGAAGAGGCTGAAGAATTGTGGCCCATTGCAAAGTGAGAAGAAGGGCTTTGAGCGACCCCATTGTGAATGGCCTGTAATGATCTGCTAAGGCTGAAGTGGAGATATAGAGATGGCACCGACTGGGGACTCAGAAAGCTTCTGGAACCATCAAGGAGTGAAAATGCGGAGGCAGAAATGCTCAAGTGATGAACAGTTAAGGAACAGGGTAGAATCAAGGGATTAAATGTCAACAAGATCTATCACTGACTAAGTGGGGGATAAAGGCGAGGAACTCAAAAGAACAGGAGATTTGAACTGAGAGAATGTCTGCATCTTAACATTTCTGAGCTGGAAACGTTGGTGATACAGGCACGTACAGGTGTGGGGGTGATTTCAGGGCATTGTTATCAGAATCAATGGCGATATGCCATTAGAGAGGCAGAGCAGACACTGAGCCATCCAACAATCATAGAGGAGGGACGGAGAAGTCCTCAACGAATGGAGAAGGCAGTTAGGAGGGCATTAGGTGTCACAGTCAGAATCACCAGGTGAAGAAACAGGTGAGGCACCCTGGTGACTGCTGATCAGCCACTCCACAGGAGAAAGATCGGGATGTCCGCTCCCTCCAAGATTTAGGTGTCCATGGGTCTGAATACACGAGGGGACAGCCAATTTGAGTTTTTCTGTCTGTCGGTCGGTCTGATTGAGAGATGAGTGCTGTAGCACAGAGTTTTGAATGGGAGCATGAGGGAATTCACTCCCATTGCAATGCTGCCAACTCATAGCCCTCTTTAGAACTGCCCTGGTGGTTTCCCAGTCTGTAAATGTCAACAGGAGAAGGCAGCCTCTTCCTTCTCGCTTGGAGTGGCTGGTGCTTTCGAATTGCTGGCCTTGCGGGTAGCAGCCCAGTGCATAACCCCCACGCCACCAGTCGTCCTAAAAGAGGAAGCACGCAGAGGAAATTGCAAGCAGGAAGAAAGTCTGCACCCCCCGGCCCCCCAGCAGCAAGTGCACTGGTTCAAGAGACAATGCTTCCTCCCCTGGAAAAGACCCCAAGAAGAAGGGCGTGGGAAGACGATTTAGACTTCAATTTGGGAAAAAAGAAAAGGAGCTAATTTTGTTAAGCAGCTAAACTCTGTTGTCGTGAGTTGATTCAGCATCATTGTGAATCTGCAGCACAGGATACAACTGTCCCATAGGGCTTCCCAGGTTGTAAATCTTGACAGAAGTAGACGGCCACGTCATCCCATCACGGAGTGGCTACTGGGCTCACATTGCTGCCCCTACCGTGGAGTGATTCTGGCTCTTGGTGACACACAGGAACTCCATAGGACTTCCCATGGAGGATCCATTTGGGAACTAGATCACCAGGCTTTTCTTCTGACCACGACAGCATTTTTAGAATCATGTGGACCTTAGAATTTAATAAATGAGTCTTAAGCCATATCGTGAGAAAGATTAAAGTCCAGATGAAACCCCAGTTGTATATTATTTGCAATGGTCATGCTGCGTCTGTCTCTTGGGGAGATGTTACTTCCACAGAATGGTTGACTAGATAAGATTAAAATCTGCCTGATCTAAAAGTGGCTAGCAATGTTAGATAAAATAAAATAATTCTTTGAAAGGTCATGCTAATCTTAAAGAACTAAAGGGAACTGTCGACATCAGAATCAAAGGAAAAACTGAAAAACAGAGTAGCAAATACTTGAGTTGCTGCTCTGGTTGCCCAAGGCTGGGGAGGCAGTTACTTAGATGTGAGGGCTTAACCTCCACAGAGGGAGAGGGGTCAAGGCTTGGGGCTGAGAATGCAGAACGTTGGAGGAGTGAAAGGGAGGCCCTAAACACACCTGCCCAGGAAGACAGAGAGACCCGAGGATGAAGGGACCCTGGGAAATAAAATAAAATAAAATCCTGGGCCCCTGCCTTACACAGGTTCAGGTGCATGTTTTCAGTACAAGGTATAGTCTCATAATTACTAAGCTCAAAATTACAATAAAAACCCGTGTCAGGCAGGCAATACTCTTCGTGTGGGGGTTGCCAGGTTTAGCAACTACAAAGGAATACTTCTGACACGGGGTTGCTCCCAGTGGAAATGAACTCAGTGGCATCTGATAACAATACGTTGTTATTAGAAGGTGGCCTAAGTGCTGAGGAGAGAAATAAAAGGCAGGGAGAGAGCATGTGTATTAGGGAAGATGTTGGAAGCTTTAGATTGGGAGAGGAGGAAAAAACCTCTTGGGGAGGTTACATTGAAGCACACACTTTATTATTCGTATTGATTTTTAACTTCGGCTGTGGGAATGCAGACTTGGAAGAGACAAAAGAACTTGCAGCTATCTGGGGAACAAAACAACAGAAAATCAGGCAAACGCAAAAGCCTGCAGATGGCAGTGTCTTGTGTTTAAGAAACAGCGGGAGGCCCACGCAGGCAGTTTGAGTGAGCGCGGGAGAAAGCAGTGGAGTGGTTCTCACCCTTCCCAATGCAGTTCCTCATGGCGTGGTGACCTCCAACCATAACATTAGTCTCATTGCTACTTCATAACTGTAATTTTGCTACTGTTATGAATCATCATGTAAATATCTGATATGCAGGATATGTTTTCATTGTTACAAATTGAACATAATTAAAGCATAGTGATTAATCACAAATAATATGTAATTATAGATTGTGAACTATTTATTTCTAATGATAAATAAATGAAATTTTGTCTTGAAGCATGGTGCAGCATGGGTAACAGTCTTCACGCCGGGTACTCACATGTGGATGTATCTGCATGTGGGCAGACCCGCCTGGAAACACAGATAAGAGGAGCTATGTCTTGGTTCATTAGACCATCTGAACTTTGTTTTCCAAAGGTCTTTGGCGACCCCTGTGAAAGGGTCGTTCGACCCCCAAAGGGGTGGCGACCCACAGGCTGAGAACGCTAGAGTAGTGCGCGGCGGGGTCAGAGCAGTGTCTTAGAGCTTCAGTTGTGAGCACTGGGTCTGCAGGAGACGCGGGTTTACAGTGGGTCCTAAGTCGTCTGGAGCTTCCACAGCCACCGTGATTCTGCCTCCAGGGAGTTCTTTCCGATTCCTGACCTGCCAGGGGAAAAGCCACGCCCTCAGAGTGTGTGAAGGGCTGTACTACGTGGCCAGCCCAGGGGCAGCAGCCCTGCCCTCGGGGACCTGCGTGGGGTGTGGAGTCACACAGTCATGGATCAGACGCTGGCCACCTTGCTAGGAGGCCCTGAACGGATCGTGTGAGATTTTCTACAATAGCCTATCTCAATCCTGGTCCCTTTCCTGCACCTGTAGTGCTGTCTGCAGCGGTGACGAATCCACTGTCACCAACCACGATTTTGTGAGTATTGGGGGCCCTTGGTGGCACCGTGGGTAAGAGTTGGGCTGTAATCTACAGGTCTGAAGTTTGAAGCCACCAGGTGCTGTAGAGAGCAAGATGGGACTTTCTAATCCCATGGAGTGAGTCTTGGAAGCCCACAGGGGCGACTCTACCCTGTCCTACCGGGTCTCCAGAGTCGCCAGCAGTGAGCGTTTTGAGTGTGTTCTCCATGTCCTGTTTCCGTGGCTGCCTGCCTGGGAACCGTGGACAGCCTCATGGCTTCCCACAGATGGTGTCCCTGAGCTGGCTCTTTCCCTTGTTTTGGGACTTAATAAATGGGCTTCTAGAAGTTACATTTTTATTCGGGGGTTCTCTCTTTCCCTTAGAACAAAGGTGATGGTATAGTAGGAGGTATAGAACACCACACATCTGGTTTAGTGGTGTGACCCCTAAAGTTACTTCTGTAAATCTTTACAGAAACTCTTGGAAGCTCTATAGGGCTGTTCTCTCTCCTATCCAGTCACTCTGAGTCAGAATCGACTTGACGGCAATGGGTTTGAATGACATCAATGTAAAAAAAGAATTTTTTCACATATTTTCTAGGTATTCTATAGGCTAATTATTCATATAAGCCCAATAAATAAAACATATTGCCATTGAGTTACTCCCCATTCAGAGTGGCCCCAGAGGACAGAGAACAACTGCCCCACAGAGCTTGCAAGGTTGCATTCTTGACTGCAGCAGACTGCCACATCTTGTTCCCAAACCGGCAACCTTTTGATTAGTGAATGAATGCTTCACTACTGCACCACCTATAAATATTGAGATTTAAATAATAGTAATACAACCCAAAGTTTCCACAGTCCCTAGACAGGCGTAATCTTGTCAGAGATGTTTAAAAAACAATTGTAAAAAAGTTACAGAATACAATCTTTACTTAACAATAGGATGCCAAAGGAATCAGATCATTGGATTTTTTTCATTCTTGCCTTCCTGTATGTACTCATGTTGAAAAACACCAAAAAGGGCGAACTATGTTACTTTTCTGCTCTTCTCCTCTAGTTTAGACCTGGCTGTGTAGGATTATAGCAGAGCTTTCCATGACTACCCCAGGTCTACATTGAGCTACCCTGGGGAGGTGCTATTCCCAAATGAAGTCTTGCTATCCTCTTAGATCAGGGCTATGGGGAAGAAATGTGTTGGCTAAAGATAACTCTTATCACAGAGACTATAGCCTGAAATCTATGCTTACTTTAAAGTCAAAATACTATACACAGCCCTATCAGGGCTTGCATTAGAGGAAAGGCCTATTAGAGAGCAAATACCTGGTATAGTGGTTGAGAATTGAGCTGCTAACCTCAATGTCAGCAAGTCAAACCACCAGCCCCTCATGGGAGAAAGGCAAGGCTTGCTACTTCTGTAGGGATTCACATTCTCTGAAACCCACAGGGGAGCTCTACCCCATCCCAGAAGAGGGCTGAGGGTCAGGGCGGGCTGGAAGGCAGCAAGTGAGCATGAGTGTCTGGAGGCGCCGGGTGACAAACCTAGATCCCGGTCTCCCTGCTACTGATGGTGAACTGGAACCTGTAGGCAAGGCCCATCTGCCTGTGAGCCGCGTGTCCCCTGCCCCATCAAGATGTTCGCTTTCCACTGCCCAGCAGCGAGCGGGGAACCCACGACAAGAACCAAGGGTACTTGGATTTGGCATCGTTTATTGCAATCAATACTCTCGGAAAACCACATAAATACCACAAAGGAAACAGGTCGTCCTCCGTGATGGCTGGCAGATGATCTGCCTCACTACTGATACATTTCTACATTTCACAGAAAGGGATAATCACATAAGGAGATTATAGTACAACTCTTCAATGATAAAGATCTTTTTGGTCAATATTTTCTGTTACCAAAGCAACAATTCTCCTCTTTGGCAAAAGAGGTTAACCCCCCTGCTCCACCCCAACTGTTAACTTACAAAACAAGTTCAAAGTAAAAAAAAAAAAAATTAAAAATCACTGAACATGAGGTACATCAGAGGCCTGGCCAGATCTAGAATTACAGAGACATAGTCTGCAGAGAAATTGTTTCTTAAAACCCAAGTCCTGTTCCTCTCCATCTCAGAAGAAAAGCACCATTTAGATTTGGTCTTGGTCATTTTGTAAGAGCACGCTGCAAGTAACACCCCCTCCCCATCCACCTCCTTTCAGGAGAACCATGGAAGTCACTCCAAAAACCAAACTCACTGCCCTTGAGTGGGCGACTCCCCTGTGGGCTTCCACGACGCTGTTTACTGGAGTAGACGGCCCAGGTTTTCTCCCGATGCGGCTGCTTGTAGTTTTGAATTGCCGACCATGGGGATCACAGACCAACGCATAACCATTATACCACCAGGGCTCCTGTGAAAGTCCCTAGAATGTTCTGATGGACACACCCTCCCCCGCCCCCCAAGTATTTCAGACTGTAACTACTGTGCCTTCGGCATTGCACTGTGTTAGAAGAGCAGGGGATGCTGTCAACTCCAGCACTTAGCTTTATGGACAGATTTGCCACGGCAGAGGAGAAGGTGAAGAAGGCGGCCGTGTCAGCCAGGCCTGAGGCGAGAAAGAAGCACAGCACGACGAAAGGGTCACCTTTCCCACAAGCTGGGGCACGACAGTCCCTGCAGGAGACAGACCTGCCTCTCTGCGTCCACGCTGACAGACTACCTCTCATTCCCTTTGGGCAGCGGCTAACATGCCTTTTAATTTTATTTTTTTAACAATCTACAAACACAATTGCTAAACAACCACCCTGGTGTGCTTTTCATGCTTCAAGTAATTCCCTTTCTCCCAGGAGAAGAATGTTAAAAATGCTCTTAGTTCTCTCTATCAGAGGAAAACAGATGAACCACAACCCAACAGGCTCCGTTTACACAGTCCTGCTGCGAACAGTGTCGGACAAAAGGCGTCTTCTCCGTGAACCTCCGTGAACGGGCTCTCAGCTGGGCCTTGGCCCCGCTGCCTTCGCCCACTTCCCTCTGTGCAGGACTCAGGTCTTATAAGGCAAACTTAAGTTATTTTAATTCTTGTTAAATACGACTCTGTACAGATTGCACATTTTACACCAAAGCAGCTCAGTATCACAGTTAGCGAAATGAAACATTTTCATTTTTCTAGCCCGGCGAGAACCGATGATTGCCCTAAGGGCTGGAACAAGATCAGCTGCTCGGTTTTGTAAACAGTAGGGGGTCGTCTCCGGGACTCCACCGCAGGATCCGAATCCATCACACGTTCGCAACGCAAGCGTGCACCAACACGCACGGGTGCACGCGCACGCGCATGCCCAGCAGGCCCCTTCTTCCAGTGGCCACAGCACAGCAGTCTGACGCTCAGTGCCCGCAGGTGCCTTTCACAGGGTGCTCACAAAAGAGCGTTCACGGCCATCTGGGGGATGGGCCTGAGGCAGTCGCGGGGTGCCGAGTAGCCGTCGCTCAGGCCCGCGGCCACGCACACCCTGTCCGCACGCGGGGCGCTCTGCGGCATCTGGTAGACCCCGCCATGGGGGGCTGCCCCTCCGGACGCCGAGGAGGAGCTGCCGGAAGAAAGGGAATGTTTGTGCGTGGGCACGAGGCCAGGGACGCGGTAGCCGTGCGCCGAGAAGGTGTTGGCCCTGGTCAGGTGGCGCTCCACGATGGGCGTGGCATACTCGGGCTCCTGGTGGGTCAAGGGCAGGGCGTACTGGTGGCGGGCTGCGTGCTGTGGGCAATCGTAGTGGCTGCCCGCGACCGCACTCAGCCCGGCCTCCTCGGCGTCGGTGTCCATGGGCCGGAAGGTGGACCCTTTCCTGGTAACAGTCCCCGTGCCAATCATGAGAGGCTGCTGGTAATCTGCAAGTAAGCGAGCGGTAGAGGCCACGTCATTTGTGCACCATGGGGATGCATGGGTCAGCCAGTTCTTAGTAGGGGGCGACGGCTGCTCTAAGGTGGTGGTGAAGCAGTGCTATCCTGAGCTTCTCCAAGCGTCTGCGGCTCCTCAGTCTGTCCCAAAGTGGATACACAGAAATCGCCACCAGGCACCAAGGTGCAAAAGTCTCAGATCCATCACACAGGGACTGACACAGCCATAATCACTGTGTGGGTGACTGCACCCAGAGAAAGGCTGGGACACTACGTGGATCACCGAGGAGGCACGAAGGAGGAGTCAAGAACCCTCCCCGGAATGTGCAGGGGTTGTGGGGTGGGATAGGGACAGTGGGGTTGATTGGGGGCATACCAAGGAACTGGGAATACTTTCATGGGGACATGTCCAATGGGCGGAGACTAGGATGGATCCCTGGGTGTGAGATGCCAAGCAGACCAACATGCAGGGGAGGGCTCAGGTGGAAGCTCAGGGTGCCGCTGAGACTCTGTGTTGAGTGTAGGCAAGGGCAGGCCTGGGAGCCCTCTGAACATTTAAGGAAGCTGAGGAGGATCCTTCAGGGAGGGAGGAGGTGAGGCCTTACTGGAAGCTGAAGGATAGTAAAAGGCCGGAAAGAGGTGCTCCCTCCTCCCCTTCCATCATGCTCTGTGTAGACCTAGAATTTATTGGGGGCCAGGAATAAGGGTTTGGGTTGGAGACAGGCTGGCCTGGCCCCCAATGGGCTACAGCACCCTTTACAACGATGTGCTCCTTAGGCTGTAATCATCCCCTGGGAACTTCTGGCTGCCTAGGCCTGTGCCAGCGCTTAGTGCTGTCCCAGTGCTGCTGGGTCTCAGGACAAACAAACCCCCAGATCCTTCCCCACAGGTGGTTTTCAAGTTCAACTCTTGATGTCTTTTTAGGGACATGGAGGTCATTCTAGCACTGGATGGCTTCCTTGACCTCCTATCTCTTCTTCAGGGCAGGAGATGTATTTGTTCTTCTAGTGCCTCTTTTCCGAGCAAGATGAGAACAAGCTGAGGCTGCCTGCTCCCATAAACAGTTACAGTCTGGGAAACATTCAAGGAAAGTTCTGCTCTGTCCTATTGGAGCTCTGTGACTTGGGATTCACTCAGTCCCCCTTTCCCAGTGCCTCCCTCGACATAGAGTAGGATGTCTCCTGGAGTCTAGCAGCACTTCATGGCCATCACTACATTCTTATGGCTGTAAGAGATGAGCCTGCACTGACCTCGTGAGCAATATCTCTGTGTCAATGTGTGACTGTGCAGAGGGCAGAAAGAGAACTGCTGGACACACCACTGATTTATCAGACTCCACCTCGACCCGGACACTCGTCTCATTCCTCTGCAGGCTCTCACCCCTGATAGCATGGTCTGTCTAGGAGGCTGCATGCTTACCTGCCACATCACATGTGGTGAGATCCAACTGCTGGGTCATCTCCTTTTCGTTGTCATAGCTGATGGTAAACTCAGATGACTGATGTCTGGCAAAGGGATATTTCATCTGCTTCCAGCAACCTGGAATGAAGAGAACATGAGACTGGGACCTCAGAAATGTAACACAAGCTCTTTACAATGTATTTAAGCCCTTCTTGATGGCTGGCTGTAACCAACACAAGACCATGCTCTTTAAAAGCACTTGGTGAAAAGGGCATGCTGAGGTCATTAGCAATAGCCACAAGCACTAGCTCAGTCGTGCTTTACACAGTGCCTGAAAAATAGGTGTTTGTAGGGCAGAGGGAGATGGCGGACAGTGAAACGTATAACAAAACTCTTAATACTTTATGAATTATGAAGGGTTCATGAGGGAGGGGGGAAAATGAGCAACTGATATTAAGGGCTGAAGTAGAAGGCAAATGTTTTGAGAATGATGAGGGCAACAAATGTAGATATGTGCTTGACACAATGGATGTATGTATGGATTGTGATAAGAATTGTACGAAATCCCAATAAAATAATAATTTAAAAAAAGGTGTTTGTGTGCCTAACAGGTGCCAAAGTATTTTTATGCTGGGCCATGCTGGACAGGGTTTTCCGCAAGCTGACATTACATCAGTGGCCTTCAACTTCCCAAGTCCCTGGCCTCGCTGGCCCTTGTCTCAACCACAGCTGGCTTGCTGCTCCATGCTTGTCCATCCCGTGTCATAAGGATCTGAAGTCTGAGGTAAGCATTCGTCTGGTCCATGGCTTACTTTCTCAGAGTGGACAATAGTGGAAGCCAGCAGATGCTGACAGTGTGCTGGTTGGTGTTTCGGTCAGAGGCCGACCTTTTATAATTTCTCAATGTGCCGCCCAAGACTCCAGTGGCAAAAAACTGAGTGAGAACAAATGATGGTCATGATGTTAAACAAAGGTAAATAGGTCAACGAATATCTGAATTAAAATGCAATGATATCTTTCCTTCTAGATTTACTCACTTTAAAGCTCTACATTGTGTGTGTGTGTGTGTGTGTGTGTGTGTGTGTGTGTGTGTATGGAACCCAAATAAATGTGGGCCACAGGCTTGATTAGGCATGCTTTCCACAATCTGACCTTGTCATGTCCCCAAACAGAATAAAATCATAGCGTTTTCAACCAACCTGTTTTCTGAGCCTCTGGAGACCCGTAAGGATTTTCTTTCTTCTTCTTTCTATCAAGATAAAAAGTCTATCTGAATATCCATAAATCACTAGGTTCCCCTCTATCAGATCGGAACAGCACTCACTGGGTGGTAAGATTAAATGACATAACCTCCATATGCTTAGAATAGCAAACATCTAAGTATGACATATAAATATAGCTCACTTTGAATAAAAGGAGCAACATTTTTCACCAGAAGAATATGTGTGCCAATTTTACTTTATATCTAAGAAGCAATCTTTTAAAGAATTACTTTATCCTTTTACTAGCTCAGGCACTCAATACACACCATGGACTCTTTTTAAAAATAATGTAGTCCAATACTTCAGAAGGAAAAGCACAAAGATTAAAAAAAAGGACAGCTGCGGCAATGCCTCCTGCTGGCATGGCGCCCTTCCTCTCCAATCACTACCCCCGGACGGCCCAGCCCTGCGGCCACCGAGTGGATTGTGGCTTATGGCAACTCAGGAGTTACAGGCAGGGCTCTCCACAGGGTTCCCTTGGCTGAAGTCTTCACAGAAGCTGAGCTTCAGCCATTTCCATGGACCTTAGTGGGCAGGAACTTCCAGCCTTTTCATTAGGCAACCCACTGTTCGGAGGTCAATTCTGACTCCTAGTGACCTGCAGTAAAGGGTAAACTGTTTGTGCCCCAGAAACCTCTGCAGCAGTGGTCCTCCACCTTCCTAATGCTGAGATGCTTTCATACAGTTCCTCATGTTGTGGTGACCTCCCAACCATAACATTATTTTCGTTGCTACTTCATAACTGTAATTTTGCTATTGTTATGAATTGGGTGACCCCTGTGAAAGGGTCATTGGACTCCCAAAGGGGTCACAACCCACAAGTTGAGGACTGCTGCTCTAGACGGTCTCCCAGTCTAAAACTGGGGGTGAGTACCTTTAAAAGCATCTACCACAAGCACATTAAGCCAAGGAACTTGTTTTAACTTATGAGGTATCAAAACAAAACAAACCAGAAGATTTTGGTAATACTCTCTCAATATTGTCCAGAGAATTGTCCTTCCTTGTTTTGGTACAAAGACCCACACTTATAAATTCTGAAGCGCTCTAAAATATAAAAAGAAACTAAAGAAATGTGTTTGTGTTTTTTTGGGGGGGGTCGGTGTTTAAGATCCAATCCTTAATTTTGTTATACTAAACATGAAGCTTTGGAGTTCGGGACAGAGCTGGTGCTTCTCTGGGCAAAAGCCTTCTACTTTTGTGCATAAGAAACGCAAGGCTGGGGAACTAAGTGACCTTCCTACTCAGCGAGAGAAGTAGAACAGAAACCAGTCTTCGAGACCCTCATTCTAGTACTCCTTCCACTCAACTGGTGGGAGAGAAAACCCGACACTTAAAGAAGCAAAGTTCAGTGCTGCACTTCGTAGCAGGAGCCTCGGAGTTGTAGGGGGTCCCCTATGTTGGGCTGCTAATTGCAAAGTCAGCGGTGTGAGTCTACCAGCAGCTCCCCAGGAGAAAGATGACGCTTTCTACTCTCATAAAGATTTATAACCTCAGAAACCCCAAACGGTGAGTTCTGCTCTGTCCTCCACGCGGATTCTAAGCCATAGTTGACTTTAAGTCAGGGGTCCTGACAGCTGGAAGTTTCTTCCTGGTTTCAGATCATTCCCCCAACAATGCTCACAAGTCAAGTTAACAGCAAAGGTTTCAAAAGGCCCTAGACAGTGTATAAAATAATTATTTTAGAATTTCTACCAAGATTTAAGTTGTTTTAAGTTGAAGTGCTCTCAGAACAAGTCATGCTGCCTTTCGATACAGAAATGCCTGAAAAGTCAACGTCTCATTTTAGAACCACTTAAGTAATTAGAGAAGGCATTTAAAACAGGCGACGTACTTTCTGATGACTGCAAAGATTCCCATTCCAGCAGCCACGAGGGCAACCAGGAGCACCAATGGAATAGCAAAGGTTGTAACGTTTAATCCTAGAGATGGGGAGTCGGGGTTGGGGAAAGGGCAGAAGAATCACAACGTAAGTACAGTATAACCAGATAACATTATTAATTGGATGTTGATTTAAAATGTCCTGATTGCTAAATATGTGGAGGAAATGAATGCATATAATAATTTACTGATATGTGAAAACAAATGATTTCAAGTATTGTCTAAAACTTAAACTCATTTTTCATCCCCACAAAAGTAGTTTCTAACCTCCCTCCGGGATTAACCTTTTCTCTGAGCTTGTTGTTTGGCCCAGAAAACTCAGACCCACAGTGGTAGAGTCAATCCTAACCCCTAGTAGGGACAGAGTAAACTGCCCCAGATTACTTCTAAGACTAAAATTCTCATGGAAGCAGACCGCCACGTCTTTTCTTCCGTGAACAACCGGTGAGTTCTACTGAACCTCTGACTTCGCAGTCAAGAGGGGAGCTCTTTAACCACTGCACCTTTGTTGGGCCCACACTAAAAACCAACAAAACCAGCACCAAGCGCAATTGCCATGGAGTCTACGCTAACTCACAGTGACCCTACAGGACAGAGGAGAGCAGGGTTTCCAAGGCAATACATCTTCATGGGAAATGGGCAAACTGACACATCTTTCTCCCACAGAGAGGCTGCTGGGTTTGAACCGCTGAGCCACAATTAACAGCCAAGTGTTTAACCACTGCATGACCAGGGCTACTCTTGGCCTATCTTAGACTCAGAAATTATTTAGACAGCTAAGTGATTTATGCACAATGTGGAACTCAGGTTGGCTCATACAACCAGTCCTTCAAGATGGTGGGCAGATTTTGCCCCATAGACTCACAGAGACCTGGTGAACTCTTCTGCCCTGTGCCATAATTTAGTCCGAAGGAATCTTGATCACCTATCTATTCCACAAAATGTCACACTGGTCCATTATATTGATGACATTATGCTGATTGGACCCACTAAGGAGGATGTTTCAAAGACTCTAGATTCATTGGTACAATATCTGTGTACAGGAGGTTGGGAAATTAACCCAACGAAGATTCAGGCACCCTCCACATCAGTAAAATTCCTGGTGGTGTAGTGGTAACGAGTTGAACTGTGATTCACAAGGTCGTAAGTTTGAAACCACCAGCCTAGTGGTGGGAGATAGATGGAGCTTTTTACTCTGGTAAATAGCTACAGTCCTGGAAATTCACAGGGACAGCTGTATCCTGTCCTATAAGAGCCACCGACTGAAAGGAAATGACACTGGCTCACACTGCATTTGCCCCAGACTCGAAACACGAGGCTGAGTTTCCTAATACCACTGCTTTACAAAAGGAGCTGGTGGTGCAGTGGGTGAGTGCTCAGCTACTAACTGAAAGGTTGCAAGAACCAAAGGCCACCAGCTCTTCTGTGGGAGACAGAAGTCACGGTCTGCTTCCTGAAAGGTTACAGCCTTAGAAATCTTTGGGGCAATTCTATTTTGTCCTGTAGAGTCAGTATAGGCTGGAGCCACCTTGGCAGGGCCAGGTTTTAATGACCACTGAAGCAAGCCCCAAGTTTGTAAATACTTTGCAATTAAAGCAGAAATATTTATTTTTTTTATACCCTTCTTTCTGTGTGATCCCTAGTGGGTGGTGCTGGGGGATATAAAGAATAATCAGAAGTGGAAAAGCCTAGTTTTATCAAAGGGGAGATAAATAATTTTTATATGGATGAAAATTTATGTAAATATGGCACTATTACTTTTAAGAGTGATAAGGGATTATGCATTTGAAAACTTAACCATCCAATAATAGGGGAATGATTAAGTGAATGATAATATATCCTTATGAAAAAAATAAGATGATTAATAATTGTTTCTCAACTATCATAAACATTAAAATATTATCATAATACAATGTTAAGTAAAACTTGCTATAGAATATATGGTATACTCCCATTTTTTCCTTAAAATTATATATATCAATACAGTGGACCGGACACAGTGGGATATGAATGAATAATATATAGATTATGGGTTTTTTCATTTTGTTCTTTATATTTTAAAAATCTTTTCACGTTTAATAGTGCTAACATAAAAATTATCTTATTAAAATGTACTTTAAATATGATCATTACATAAAAAAGATGAACACTTCTACCAAATTATGTTTCTTGACATTTATCCAGACATATAGAAAAAGTAAACTTGTAAATTTATATTATTTTCTCCCCTCTTTGCACTGATGGTATAGCAGGAAGTCTGGTGGCACAGTGGTTATGTGTTGGGCTGCAATCTGAATGGTCGGCAGTTTGAAACCACCAGAAGCTCCTTCAGGAGAAAGACTGGGCTTTCTACTCCCACAAACAGTTACAGTCTCAGTAACCCACAGGGGGTCACTATGAGTCAGCACTGACTTGATCAGTGAATTTGGTTTTTGGTTTTGCATACATGGTAACATGCTACATAGGATCATTCTATTCCTTTTTGTAAAAACTTGTCAATATATCTCATAGAGCTTTCCATATTAAAAACATAAAGTGTTTATTCTTTCTTTTTAAAATTTTATTATTTATTTTGGGTTTTTTTATTCTTTCTTATAGCGAAAGAATACTTCAATGTGTATTTCAGATAACATATTTACCTAGTATTTGAAAACATTTAAGTTTGTTGGCCATATTTTTCTAATTGCAAGTTGAAATAAGTGTTATGAACATAAATCATTTTATACATGTGCAAATACTACTGGACTGTCTGCTTCCACATATTTATGACCGAGAAAATAAACTGTTGAATTCCTGTGACACTGGCTGGGGCACCAGCTATGCCCCTGACGGAGCCTACAAAGCAATCTAGCTGCCATACCTGTGGCTGTTTTCTCTGAAGGGGTGGGCTCGGTGCGGGTCTCATCTTCTCTCCTCGTGAAAACCCCAGTCGTCTGGCTTGTTTTGCGCCACTGCAGGGTGTTATTTCCTGTGAAAGGAGGGATGTTAGGAAATCACATGGAAAGAAACCAGAACCTGGGAAAGAAAATGGCCCAAATCAAATACCGAATCGACTCATTCTGAGCCCACCTGGTGTAATCCGGCAGCCAATGAGCTCCACTTTCAAGGCTATTCTCTGGTGCCAAGTCTGAGGGATGACCCGCACGTATCTGGCCACGATGGGGGGGATGAAATTGTTCCTCACGGGGTCCTGGAAGTTAGAATTGCCTTGGAACACCTGAAAGAGAAGTTACTTTATTTGAATGTTTTGTTAGTCTTTAAGTCTTTACAATCTGTTCATACCTAATTAGGTGCACCCATGCAAAGAGCCCTGGTGGGGGTCATTACACATCGGGCTGCTAATCACAAGGTTAGCAGTTTGAAATCACCAGTCTCTCCACAAGAGACAGACAGAGATTTCTACTCCTGTCAAGACTTACAGACTTAGAAGCCCACAAGAGCAATTCTACCCTGTCCTCTGCAGTCTCTATGAACCATAATCAACTCGATGGCAGTGAATTTGTCTTTTGTTTTTTTGGTATGCTGATGATATACAACCTTTCAAACAAAGGTCAAGTTACTCAGGTGGTGCTTCTCAGCTGTTTTCTGATTTGAGTGTCATTTTGGATAAACCAGTTAAACTTTCCTGGTTGCAATACTTACCTTGCTCTTTCTACATCAATATTGTTCTATTGATCATTATCCTCAAGAACACACTCTGCCAATTCTTATCCCATTCTAATTCAAATAACTTTTAACCGTGTCCTGATAGAAATTGCCAATCTCAAGTCTCCCCCATGCTCGAATTCAGACTAAAGCGATGACTTCTACTTACCAATTATCCTCTCCCTGCAAAATCACAATGATCTCATTCTGAAGTACGGGAGAAATACATTTCAAATATCTCTTAAGAGTTTCCTATTTGCACAGGCTCAAGGAAGGACTGTCATTGTCCTTTATTAATGGAAAATACAATGTAAACACATGGACCAAGAGGTTTGGCGGTTTGTTCCCACTACTCAGGCTTCTCTCACCTTTTCTTCATTCTTTGCAATTCCTTTATAGGTCTTCCATTTGGAGTTGTTGTTTTTAAAATTCATCACAAAGCTCTTAACATAAAAGTTGAAATTTGACTGTGTGGATCCTGTGGTCCTAATTCCTTGTAAGGAAACATTATTTGCAGGTTAGCGCTTAAAAGAGGTTAACACATTGAATGCATGTACTGTATTTTCAGGCTGTATTCGAGTCTCTTTTGAAAGCTCAGTATTTTACAGACCCACTTTTCCTAGGCAAATTGAGAAGTCGGGAGCTAGACAAGTGTTTTCATGTTGACGGTCTACCAGATAAGGGTTTTTGCCAGTGACGATAATCCATCAGGAAAACACTGCGTTGACACAGTGTGCACCCAGTTCTCACCGGAGCCACGTGAAGCCTGCTCACATTTTCAAACCATGTCAAGTCCTTTGCATTAGACAAAGGCAATTATGTAAATGGAACCATAATTTCTACCAAAAGTCGTTTTGCACTTACAAAACTGCTACCGTGCTTCCCCTCAGTACCTGTTATTTTCTTTTTCTCTCCCAAGTCTATCTCCAGCCACTCTCGCCGCCTGTGGTTGCTGCTATTATCCCCGGAAGCCCAGGAAGGCCCTTGATCCTGAAGCCGTGCTCGACCGGGAGACCAATGAACTTGTTCTCCAGCCTCACTGACCCACTGCCATGAGGAAGAAGCTCGGATTTGCCTGTTAGGTTCCAGACTCAAGGATTTGCTACAATCTAGGTAAAAAGGGAAAGTCAGACATTTAAGATATAGTTATATAATGAGCATTATAAAAAGTACCTCGACATTGTGTTGCTTCAGTGAATGAGTGTGATCAACATGTTTGCATTGTGTCCAGACGTCAATTGCTTTCCTCAGCAGTGTTCAGTCACTTTAACTTTGTAATCTGTGTAAGTAACATTGCATGTATTTTAGTCTAGGAAGCTTCTTATTTATGTATATTTTCCTTTTCTCATTAATGTTTCAGATTCTATACCAATGGGTAGATTAGTGATATTATTATTAGAATTACTAAATGTTCCCTGCAGGCTATCTATATTATTTCTCAAGAAGCTGATAAAGGTTGATATAATGGATATATATAATGTTATATATATGAATAGATTTTGAGCTCACACTTAATCATAATCCTGAATCCGGGAGCAATTTGTTCTTATGATATAGCCCTGCTCAACACTTGTCCTCATAAAGTGATCACTGAAGAAATGGATGACATAGCAAAATGTGGTAAAGAAATCAGATGGTGCCCTACTATCAGAAAGAAGAGTGTCTGGAATCTAAAGGGCTTGTTATAAAACAAACACCCATCTAAGTGAAGTGTCAACCAGGTGTGCATGGGAAGGGTACAGCAGCCTATGTGATCTAAGGATTGTAAACAATAAAATCCAAGTCCAGAGGAGGGAATTGTATTAGAGCTTAAATTCTGAGTACCCAGTTTGTAGAGGCTATCAATGGCAGGGAAAGTTCAAAATCCATTTGCAGAGCCCCCAAGCAGATTAAGCCTCTATTGAATTCCCTTGGACGACTAACGGATGTGAACAGTCTTGTCTTCAGACAGAATGCACTGGAAAATGTAACACTGCATCTATAAAACAAAAACTTCACTGCCATCAAGTAGCGCAATTCAGAGACCCTATATGACAGGATAAAACTGGCCCTGTCAGTTTCCAAGGCTATAACTCTTCATGAAAGTAAACAGCTCCACCTTTTCCCTGAGGAGTGACTGATAGCTCTGAATTGCTGATGTGTGGTTAGCAGCCCAATGTGTAACCCCTATGCCACCAGGGCTCCACATTGCAGATGTAGTTAGATTAAAATTGAACATCTTACCATTTGTTTTCCCTTTTGATCTATTTTTAACCTTTTCTCGATTTTATTATTTTCTGCTTTCTTTGGGTTTAAGTTTTTCTGTGTTGTTGGTAGAGAAAAAAAATGTATAAAATTTGGTATGATTTTCTTGATATGAAATACAGGGTAGGTGAATGTATGCAGACAGTAACAGGTAGCTCTGCAGCACAATGGATAGTGCACTGAAGTTCTAGAGACAGTAACCAGATTAATAGTTTTTAGGGTTATGACAGGAGAGGGTGAGGGAGATGGAGAGCTAATAATACTGGATACAAGAGATTGTGGTGATGATTACACAACCCTTTTTACTATATCCTAGCCACTGGTTTGTATGGTATGCAATTATATATCGATAAAATGGTTTTGTAAAAAGTACCATGAGGCTTTCGAAGGCGCCCTCATTTCACACTGTTGGTTAAATGCTGGACTCCTAACGCTAACTCTAACCTGGAGAAAGACGAGCCTGTCAGTGCTGGTAAAGGTCCACGGTTTCAGAAACCCTATGTAAGGTTGCTATGAGTCAGAATTGACTAGGTGGCAGTGGATGTGGTTTGCTTTTTGTTTTAATGCATCTAGTATTACGTTGATATTCTTCTACCCTAATATTAAATCAACTCTTTTATTCCTAGGATTTTTTTTGTTCTCATAACTCAGACTTCCATTTTGCTACAACATTTTGTTTTTCTTTCTTTTGAAAGAAAAAACTGTGGTAAAGATATATATATATATAAAACAAAATAATCACTGTATCAATACTTTTCCCATGGATCACTGAGTTACAATAACTAGTCACTGAATGGTACATGTTAAACAACTATCATATTAGATAACGATCACAATTTTCCCTTTCCAGATTTTTCTAATACCCTTATCAGAAACTCGGTGCCCCTTTATATTCTCCCCCCTTTGGCAGCAGCCAATAAACTTGGATTGTTGTTTGTTTGCCAGTTCTAGATAGTTTATATAAGTGGGATGACATATTTGTCTTTTGTGACTGACTTATTTCACTTAGTGTAATGATATCAAGGTTTCTTCATATAGCATTCACCAGGACTTCATTTCTCTTTATGGCAGAACAAGACTCCACGTGATCCATGTCCAGCACTTTGTTTTTCATTATTTGGCTGATGGGCATTGAGGCCGTCTCCACATTTTGTGAGTCGTGCTGCAAAGAACAATGATGTACAAGCAGCTGCACTCCCGCTTTGGATTCTTTTGAATATGTGTTTCAGAGAGGAATTGTTAAACCATATGGTAATTCAATATTTGACTTTTTCAGAAACCATCACAGTCTTTTCCACAGAGGCTACACCATTCTATCATCTACCAGAAGTCGAAGAGGGTTCCAATTTCTCCATATCCTTGCTAACATTTGTTGTTCAGGTTTTTCATCAGTCATTCTAGTGGGAGTGAAATGGTACTTCATTATCCTATTTTAATTGGCATTTCCCTCAAGTCTAATGATCAGAGACAGCCCTGTATTACTGTGGGCTAGGCACTGGGCTGCTACTCATTGCAAGTTTGACAGCTGGCTGTCTGCTGCTGTAAAATGTAGTCTTGGACACCCCACGCAGTCATTATGAATTAGAAGTGACTTGCTGGCAGCAGGTTTGGTTTCTGGTTTAATGACTACTGAGAAGGAATCCTGGTGGCACAGTGGTTAAGTGCTCAACTGCTAACTAAAGGGTCAGTGGTTTGAACTAGCTTGGGGAGAATGTTGAAGCAGCCTGCTTCCACCAAGAGCTCTAGTCTTGGAACGGATGAGGCAGTTAGTTTGTAAGGTGGTTAGAAGTTGAAAGTGGCGTGATGGCACCTAACGACAACGACTAATGAACATCTTTTCACGTGGGCATTTGCTTATCTTCTTTAGTTAAAGCCTACTCAAATCTTTTGTCCATTTTTTGGGTCTCCTGTTGCAAAGTTGTAGGAATGCTCTATATTTTCTGGAATCAAACCATTATATTATATACAAGGAGGCTTCAAAAGTTCATAAAAAAAAGATACAGAAAATTTCCACAAAGCCCTCTCATGTGTGTCTGTCTATCTGTCTATCTACCTATCTATGTGTCTATCTACCTGTGTGTCTGTCTGTGTGTCTATCTATCTACCTATCTATGTGTCTATCTACCTGTGAGTCTGTCTGTGTCTGTCTGTATGTCTATCTATCTATCTATCTGTGTCTATCTGTCTATCTGTCTGTCTATCTATCTGCCTATCTATCTATCTATCTATCTATCTATCTATCTATCTATCTATCTATGTCTATCTGTCTGTCTGTCTATCTATCTATCTGTCTGTCTATCTGTATCTATCTATCTATCTATCTATCTATCTATCTATATCTGTTGCTGTTGTTTGGTGCCTTCAAGTTGGTTCGATTCAGAGACCCAATGCACAACTGAATAGAAGGAAACACTGCCCAGTCCTGCACCATCTTCACAACTGTTGTTCTGTTTGAGCCCATTGTTGCAGCCACTGTGTCAGTCCGTCTTGTTCATGGTCTTCCTCTCTTTTTCTGCCTCGCTACTTTTGATGTCCATTTCCGGGGTTTGGTCTTTCCTGGTAAGTCTCTGCAGCTTTCCTTCTAAGCAGCAGTTTAGCTATACTTCTTCCAAGACACAAATGTTTTTCTTTGGCAGTCCATGGTATGTATGTTCAGTCCTCTTCACCAGCACCATAATTCAAGTCTTCATTCTTCCTTATTCAATGTCCAACTTCCACATCCATATGAGGCCATTGAAAAAACCATGGTTTGCGTCAGATCCACCTTAGTCCTCAGAGTGACATCCTTGTTCTTCAACACTTTAAAGAGGTCATCTGCGACAGATTTGACAAATACAGTATGCCATCTGATTTCTTGACTATGCTTCCATGAGCACTGATTGTGGTTCTGAGCAAGACAAAATCCTTGAAACATTATTTTATTCTCCATTTATTATGATCATATCTATTGGTCCTAGATAGATTGATGATAGATATTTTTATGTATGTGTAATGTTTATGCATAGGTCTTGGCTTAACTAAAGTTTTGGCTTTTTATGAACTAAATCATATTTCTAGTTTTCAGATTCTCTTAACAGTATCTAGTATTTTATCTTAAATATGTACTAATGGAAACTAAAGGAAACAGTTTGATAAAAAAGCCTTTTATTTTATAACCAGTCTTCCAAGTTACTATAAATACTCTCAAAATTTTTAGATACAAAAAAATAACACTATATATAATGGGAGTGAAAACACAACAGAAGTTGAATAAAGGTCACTAATAATTTTAAAATATGGAATTCTTAAGGAAAGCATGATCCTTACCATTGGAAGCAAAATGAAATCGCTTGTCTGACAGGAAACCACTGAAACGAAATACAGGAACAGAAAGAGGTGAGCTGCTCCATGGTGTCATTCTGACTGAGCTGGCAGTATGGGGGGGGGGGGGGCGGCTCCCTTGTTCTTGTAATGCCAGAGCTTTCCGATGTGTGATACTTCACGCGGCCTCACGCCTCCTTTAGTTCCCGCTACCCATTTCACTATCACACCATCAGTGTCTTACAGATGGGGCCGCCGTAGGTAAGCACTTCCTCAGTCCTCCGGGTGACAAGTGGCCAAGACTGAGACATCATTTCTGAATACAATTCCTGAGCTCTTTCCACCATACCATACTGGGTTCGGTAGGAATGCTCAGATATGCAGTGTCAGGAACAACCCTGAATCTTAAGGAATTAATATGGAATACATGGTGCTGGAGACAGAAAGGATTACTACTCTGCAAACTTCCTTGGCTTCACAGTCACTTTAAAACACTCCACTCATGGTCAAAGCAAGGACAATTACATTCAGGAGAAATGCTGAGCATGGCATTTCTTTAACTGCCTTCTATCCTGCCTGCCTCACAGTAGCATCTTGCCCCAGCACTGGTCCTCCCGGGTAGGCTCAGCCCGGTATCTGTCGCTCTCCAGTCATGCTCTTGCCTGCTCTTGCAACCAGGGCAAAGTCATGACCATCTCCTACTTCTGGATTTCAAGGGATAGTTAGAGAAAAATCACAGCAACTCACTGAACTGGGCGGCAATGGGCCCTAGGCCTACTGGGCCTGGTATCGAGGTTCTGCCGTCCTGGGCCTTACAGTTTGCTTTATGTTCATGGGAGAGTTTATCAAATCAATCTCATTGCGTAATTCCTTCCTTCAGTAAAGAAGAGATAGCTAATGTCCCAAACTAGGTCTACTTTTATTATTAAATCCCTTACCAAGGTATGAAAAATGAATGGGAAATTTAGAATTGTCATAATTTCCTTCCATGCATAATATTTACTATGTTAGATCGGGAGGTAAACATGAAAGAGAGATGCTAGGGTCATTTTATAATCTGAGAGTGTCGCTTATCATTTTAAATCTTAACTTTGAAAGTTATATTAGAAGAATGAACAGTGAGATGAACAAATTGGGAAACCCACAGGAACCCCCAAATATTTTTGCCACAAGTTTAAACATCTGTCCATCAAAAGTTCATTCTAGTAAACACATCTCCTGGAATAGTTTCTCTTCCATATTCTTCATCTCCCTCAGCCAGAGACTCTGTAAGTCCTGGTCTGCCCCAGCCAGGTTCTAGGATAACCTAAGCATGGAATGTAATAGAGGCAGCCATCCTTTCTCAGGTGAGAAAACTCAGACCCAGCTGGGCCATGGAACTTGCCTTAGCTCCACGCCAACGGCAGGCCTGGGAGGAGAACCAGCTCGGCTGGGACTCAAAGAAAGCAGGGGGTGGGGGAGTCATCTGGAAAAGGGTATCAATACTGGCTGTGCAACACAAAGAGTATAATCAGTGGCCCTGAATTAGACAAGTAGAAATTGTGGAATTGGAGAATGTTTGGTTGTGTATATTTCTGCCACAATTAGAAGAAAAATAATTACATGAATAATGATGAGTCAAGGAAAAAGAAAATGTTCTACATTGAATATGGTGACAATTTTACAACTCTTCTTGATATGATTGAATTATCGACTTGTACAACATGTGGATGAAGTGCTAATAAAATGCTTTTTTTTAAAAAGCAGGGGTTGTTGTTATTCATATTTAAATTTTCATTTAGACTTATTTAAAATCTTTCTCCTCTCTGTTTTCTCAAATGTACCTCTACTCAGTATTAAATTTGAAATTTGACCCAATGTAAGTCCAAATAATAACTGCGACGGCCCTGACAGCCAAGGACCTCTTCCACTGCCATGACAAGTTTAAAATACTTAAGACTGTTGTGAACAAAGAGATGTTGTTATAGAAAGAAGGTAACTTCAGAGGCGAAAATGCCCTCTCCTCCATTATCAGCCAGCAAAGAGGCTTCTGCACTCCAGCTGTCTGGCACAGGCTTCAATAGCACCACCTACAACAGCGGTTCTCAACCTGTGGGTGGCGATCCCTTTGGGGGTGGAACACCCTTTCGCAGGGGTCGCCCAATTCATAACAGTAGCAAAATTACAGTTATGAAGTAGCAATGAAAATAATTTTATGGTTGGGGGGTCACCACAACACGAGGAACTGTATGAAAGGGTCGCGGCATTAGGAAGGTTGAGAACCACTGACTTAGAAGGTTCTATTAGTAAATAAGCCTTTTCTTCCAAAAGTGGGAGTACCCTAAGGTTGAGGGTTTTGACTCATTCACACTTTAATAGAGTAACTCCATCAGTTTACAGGAAGTGCTAGTCTTTCCAGGTGGCTCCTGAAGCAAGTTAATAGCAGCTCCTAATGCTGGATGTTAAGCTAAAGCTGGAGAAAAATCACAGAAGCTCACTGACCTGCAGTAACTGGGCGCTGGTCCCACTACTCATCCATATTGAGACTCTGGCCTCTTGGACCCTACAGTAGATTTTACTTTCATGGGGGAACTTATGAAATCCATCTTTTTCTGATTTTCTAGGGCTCTGAGGATTCATTCACACTTTGGTAAATTAACTCAATCAACTTACAGGAATTGTTAGTCTTCCCAGATGGTTCCAGAAGCAATCAACAGTAGTCTGGTAAGCAGGTACTGCCTTTGTGAATGAATGTTACTGGAAGTTTGGGCCTACAATCCACCCCCATTATTCATGTAAATAGTGTCCAGTCACTTAAAAGTTTAATCTGTACAAGTCAACAATTCATGTATTGTGGTCTGAAGCTGGCCTATACTTGTATAATCTCCTTTTCCCAACAATATTTAAGATCCTATACCATTCACTAAATTAATGATACCATCAATAGAATTACCTTATGCCCCAAGGGGATTATTCATAATGTTTTATATTATAAAATGATAACAATATCTCTAAAGGGATCCAGAGACATTTATGAACCATAGATATACGAATGGATTTCGGTCTCACACATAATCTAGGAACGATTGGTTCTTATGACATGGCTCTACTTGATACTAGTCCTCATGAAGATATGGGTGCTATAGAAAAGTGTGGCGAAGAAACCAGATGGTGCCTGTTTATCAGAAAGAACAGACTGACGTGGGGGTTGAAAAAGGATGTCTTACAGCAAGCAACCATCTAAATCCACATAGAAGAAACACACCAGCCTGTGTGAGGCAAAGACTGTAAATAATAAAACCCAAATGTGAAGGAGTGAATAGTATTAGAGTTTAAATTCTGAACACCCGGTTTGCAGAAGGCTACGAGTTACAGTGTAAGCCCAAAATCTGCTTGCCATGTCCTAACCTAGAGTAAGCCTTAGGTGAATACCCTCTGCCCATGGTCCAGGGACAAGAATAGCCTTATACCAGACAGAGAGCACTGTAAAGTCAATTACAGCAGAGGTAGTTGGGTTAAAATGTTATATTTAATCTTTGACCCATTTTTAAAGTTATTTCCGTTTTCAATATTTCCCGCTTTCTTTTCGATCGAGGGTTTCCTGTTTTGCTTAATCAGTGTTGCTGCTTTGCTTGCTTCCTACTTGTATTTTGTATGATTTTCTGTACATAACATTCAGGATAGGTAAATCTACCGAGATGATAACTGGATGAATAATTACCCAGGGGCCTGGCAGGGGAGGTGGGGGGAATGAGCTAACAATGCATATGAGAAAGAAAAAAGTGTTCTGAAATTGATTACGGTGATGACTGTATACTTCTTAATATGATCAAACGATTAAAGTGTATGACAGGTGAAGGATATGCCAATAAAACTATTATTCCAAAGATATAAAAGTACCCACATACAAGCAGCAGCAGCAGCAGCAGCTGATGTAAACATAAAAGGCGGCTTTCTTTCTGTGGTCCCAGCCACCATCCTCCGAGTGAGATCACTGCCTCTTCCTGATTCCATTCTGGACTCGGCAAGTCCTGGGCTCGGCAAGTCCAGGAAGTGACCTGACCTGGGATGAACCCCAGAAGAACCCTGTGTATCTACTTTAGGGACCCTGCTTCCTCAGTGGCAGCGCTTCCTTCTTTGTGTCTTCCTGAATGCCAAACAATCACAAGTGGGAACAGAAGTTCAATGACCGCATGCACAGCGGTTCCCCAACAGCAAAACAACACCGATAGAAAAAACACCACTGCTCCCTGATGATTTGAGAATCTAAGTGAGGGGAAGAGACTATTAATATACAGTCGACTCTTCTCCGCTCAATACAAAATCACAGACGGAAAAAGAAACCTAATTTAGTTTGGACTTCCTATCTCCTCCCACCAAAACAAAAATCATTGTGGAAAATTTGTTGAAATAACTATATGAAGATGGAGGAAAATGCTTTCAAATTCATTCATTACTGGCTTAGACTTTGGTGTTTTTCTTTTTGTATGAAATTTGAATTTCAAATTATAAAGCTAGTTCCTGTGTATTGGGTACCGTTATGTAGCAGGAGGAATGGAAGGGATAAGTTTGCAACTCAGTAGTTTTACCACATGGAATTTTTTTCAAAATAAGGTAAAATTCAAGTGGTGCAGGTTAAACTTATTATCCTATTTTCCTATAAGTTAATCATTCAAAAATAAGAATAATTTATAAATTATCAAGAGTTCATGAGGGAGTGGGGAGCGGGGAGGGAGGGGCAAAAATGAGGAGCTGATGCCAGGGGCTTAAGTGGAGAGCAAATGTTTTGAGAATGATGAGGGCAATAAATGTACAAATGTGCTTGACACAATGGATGTATGGATGGACAGTGATAAAAGTTGCACAAGCCCCCAATAAAATGATTAAAAAAAATAATTCAAATATTTTAAAAAAACATAGGCAAGGGAATCTAAAAAACAGATTTAAACCCAAAGGCCAGTTCTTCAATTCTATTTGGAGGTCAGCAAATTAAGGCCATTGCCTATAACTTTCTTCATGTGTCACACCGCAGTAGCAATAAAACGAACCATATATATCCCAACTGCTCTGACAAGGATGGCATTACAGAAGGTGCTGGATAGAGTGGGAGGAAATGTGAAACAGAACTCAAAATCAGGCTGATTGGTCAGATAGAGACCGATGGGACCCCCCAAACTGTGGTCCCTTTCCCTTCAGGTCTAGAACTGAACTCACCCTAAGTGCTGTGTTGGGATAATCAGCCATTTAAGATCACCAGGGCAGCACTTACCCAAGGGCACAGTCCAGAGGGCAGGAAAGAAGGAAGGATGGAAACAGGAAACAAGGCAAGTGATGGTACCCTGAGGGAACTGCCAGTGACGCATTGAATCAGAATGTGCATGGACTGCTGCAGGCAAAACTATGATCCACGCTGTAAACTTCCACCTCATTCACAATCAAATGTTCAAGAAATGCCACAATTCAGCTGACAACGAAGGGCTTACTGTGTGCCTGTGTGGCTACTTTTGTTATAAATCAGAACATAAAATTTAATGTTCCAAAGAGTTCAAGGAAAGAAAATATGTATGTGTATATACACATATATACACACATACCTGTATGTGTATGCTATGTATATGTTTTATACTTTTATAATTTTACTTCAGTAAGAATAAAGGTATTACTGTTTCTTAGCTTTTCTGAGGCACAAACTTGAGACTATTATGTCTCTGACGGTTCAGGTGCTAGGAAAAGAATACTTGGGGCTTTCTCATAGCTAAATATCCACCCAGAAAGGAGAAGGTCATGGGAGTTGAAGGACACAAATATAAGTTAGCCTGTATGTCCTGGGGACTGTCAACTTGCTCTCTTCAGTGGATGGTCTTGCTGGCCAGGTCTATAAAAGGTCTGGGTAGGGATGTCCTTTCCCTCGGACCAACCCTTGAGAGGCTCTCTGCTGATCTTCCTCAGCCACCCCACCTGTCAGCCAGTTGGTCACAAGCCTGGTGTTGTCACTACCATCTACAACTCTTCTCTGGCCTTGATGTTCTTTAGTCTCCACTTCCTGCTTCCTATGAAATTCAATGCTGACCCCCCTCCTGAAGGTGACCGACCTAATCTTCCTCACTCACTGCTTCCAGCATCTCCTTTCCTGTCAGATTAGCGAACACCACACCCAGCTACGGGTCTCAGAGTTTTCGCTTATGTGTGGAGCTCACAGAGGGGATCTTTGGAACTAAAACACAGTTCACCGTAAAAACAATCTTATAACTTATATTTAGTTCTGTATACTTCTACATTGATGCCTTCCAGAGGCTTGGGGAATCAACGCATTACAAGCTGAACCAGAAACATTTAGAGCACGTGGGAGAATTTTTTCTTATGATGCAGATAAAGAAGAGGGCACATCAGTTAACAAAATTCATCTTTCTTAATCTACCCAATGTATTTGTCAAAAGGCATCTCTAGGGAGTTTGGGGGAGAGCTCAATGGTTCCCTAAGAGTTTGTTTCCGTTCACTGCCTCCTTTAATATCTTATGAAATATGGAAGACAACCCATGATTTACTGACCAGTAAAAACTAAGAAGAAATAGGCCTTTATTCTCTCTCTCATTAACACATTGGAAAGTAGAAGAATTCTTCTGCCCTGGGACCTCCGAAGGGCGCCTTTGAAGTTTACCTGTCAGCTTAAGCAGGGAGCTTTTCATGTGCTACATTCTACTTCCACCCAGAAACCCTGAATGCTGTTCTCAACACACGTGTAACTTGTCCCAATTGAGAAACTCTTACCATCACATCCCTGCTGTCCTCTTAAAATTGTTAACTGATTAATTATGCCTTCAGGGGTCCCTTCCTCTCAGAACAAAAGGCAAAGTACTTACTCCCTGGAGAGCACACCGTTGGCCAGGATTTCTTCACTTAACCCTTTACTCTGAAACACGCTGATCTGGCCACCCAGTTCATCTGCAATTACTCCTGCATGGATGGCAGCTTTGCACAATAAAGAGGTCTGAAAGACAGCAATATCAACAACCATCGCTTACTTAAAAACCAGTTGGATTCAGCAATTTTGTTTCTGTAATGATTTACTCCCCCCTCCACAATGAATAATGCTTCCAGATAGACAGGCTCATGTCATCACCTCTCCTTGTGCCACAGTGGAATGAGGCCAGGCCATTTGCTTTGGTCTGCTGCACTTAACATGGCCCAACTACCTGTCAGCATCAATTGTGATAACGCGTGGTCCACATGCAGCTATCGTAGACCCTCAGCACCGGCTGATCCCCTACTGCCTGCAGCTACTTTGAGATTCCAGGTGAGGAACGGTTAAGAGCCATCCAGTCCAAAATCATACATAGCCCACAAACACATCAGCAAATGGTTATTCTAATAAACCTCTAAATTTGGGGGTGGCTGGTTAAGTAGCAATGGATAAATGACCCACTTTCTAAGACTCAGTTTACCAATTACAAAACGCTGTGTCATGCAAGAAGGTAAGCCCTTTACCACAGCTTCATTTGTTAGTGAAGTTTGACATTTTAACAAAGCAGCTAACATAAATTCTTAAGCAAGGCAGCGGACACTCTATGGAAGAGAAAACTTCCTGAAGGTCTTAGGGTGATGATGAACAAGCAAGGGTCTACAGCCTCCATCTCTATTGCTGCACCCACCCAGAGAGGGTCCCTGTCAGCACAGCAGCCTGCTGGCTGGTCTGACAAACCTGGCTCTGACTTAATCGGTCACTGTAGCACTGGCATTGACTCATTGAGAAGCATAGCAAAGGAACAGCCTGGATGTTTTCCACGGGCTGTACAGTCCTGTAGGCCCCATGAGCATAATTCTATGTGAGGATCATTTTCTCTGTAAGCTTTAGACATTCTCTACTTCTCCATGATTGCTACTGCCACAAAAAAAAAGAAAAAGAAAAGGGGGGGGGGCAATATAACTGTTTTCAGTAATTGGACTTAGGAGTCCCTCTCTCTGTTAATAGCGTGTATTTTATTTGTAATGGTTGAAACAATCCCTTAGATTTAATATACGATATTAGAAGAGCCAATAGGACAAAGCTTATTTTGTAATCAAAGTAGTTGTAACCAAAATCGAGACTTTCGTGATCTTTAGTACAGAGTTCACATTTCCCAAATCATATCTGATTGGGCCACGTGTGCCAGTCTTTCAAGTAACTGCTGCTCAAACCACCACCACCAACAAACTAGAAGAAGTTCTATGCGAATGCTTAAACACAAATATCACTATACTTCTTGGCTTATAAAGAAAAGAATTAGGAGGAAAAGAGTGTCTTCAATAAAAATATTACTTGCATTTTTCTTCTTCCTGCATTTTCTTACATTAAAAAAGCTTTGAAGTTGTCCTGAAACTCTTGAGGTTTCTAAAACAGAAGCGCTGATTATAGTGAAAAAGTTGTGACTTGAAGTAACTGGGTTTGTCCCTCTGGCTCTGCCCCCAAACCTACTTTGCACGCTCAAGCCACTTCCTGGCGTATCTGCAGAATGAAATGGCGGGACTGGATGATGTCTAGTCTTCTATCATGTTGTGATTCTAAGGGGACCCAGTGAAGGAGACCTAGTGTCTCTTCACTAAGGTTCTTGCAAACCTGCCTTCCCTGCCCAAGCCCCAGAATGTAAAGGAAATCAGCCCAGTAGTCTGGTGGGCAGCTCCTACTTCTGTTTCTGGGGTTCCGTGTCTTCCTTGAACCTTGTCTGGAGAGGAGATGGTCCTCACAGGACCCCTGCCTTGTGTCCAGCGCTCTCTGGACTCGGCATGTCCCCAGGGCTCAAGAGGACAGCTTCACAGGCTCACGGGCAAGAGGACTTTGTTGGGTAATTGGCCATCAGGCATTTTCATTTCCCACCATATTCAATAATGGAAAATCCAATATATATCCTCTGGGTGGGAACACACCAGAATGTACATTTTCCGCATTCTGCAGATCCTAGGAAGTATCTCCAAGAGAATGGCCACTAGGTATGGCCGTCATATATGATGACAAAATTACTCCTCCCTAGGAGTATGTCCTTAAAAGAAAAAATCGCTCTCAACCAACCAAAATATGATTGATGTTTATTGAAAAAAGTTGGCATTATTAAAAAAGAAACTAAGTAAACCTGATACTTTTATAAAAAAATCCCCTTTAAAGTAGTAATAATTTATATAAACTTTTCCAACTATTTTTGAGGTTGAAGATTCACTAAGATATAAATGTACAAAAGGCCACATCACTGGCTTATGTTAATGAGTTTCTTTAAAACAAGTTTATTAAATCAAATATAATAATTCTTTAGGAAAGGGAATACAATGGATATCCCAGACAATTTGATCAAATTAACCAAGGCAAGCTTTGCTGAAGTTCATGAACCACAAATGATGGACGAGTTAAGATTGAAACAATTTTCAGGAGTGCAGACCCAATGCCCATCTGTAGACAATTGGACATCCCCTCACAGAGGGGTCACAGGGAAGAGATGAGCCAGTCAGGGTGCAGTATAGCACTGATGAAACACACAACTTTCCTCTAGTTCCTCACTGCTTCCTTCCCCCCATTATCATGACCCCAATTCTACCTTACAAATAGGATTAGACCAGAACATGCACACTGCTACAGATAAGAGCCCAAAACACAGTGAATCCAGGACAGAGAAACCCCTCATGGCCAACAATGGAGGATTAGGAGAGAGTGGGGAGAGAGAGGAGGTATCTATCATCACAAGGATCAACCTATACCCCCTCCCAGGGAGAACAACAGAAAAGTGGGTGAGGGGTGATGGAGGACGATGTAAGCTATGAAAATAATAATTTATAACTTATCAAGGGTTCGTGAGGGAGGGCGGGAGGGGAAAGGAGGGGGAAGAGAGGGGGAGCCGATATCAGGGGATCAAGTGGGAGGAGAATGCTTTGAAAATGATGATCGCAGCATATGTACAAATGTGCTTGACATATTAGATGAATATATGGATTGTGATAAGAGATGTAAGAGCCCCCAATAAAAGTATTTTTAAAAAAAAGATTAAAACAACTTTCAAAACAACCATCAAAACATCCCAGAATTGAATCATTGTAAAAAGTTGTCCTTTCCAACCAAAAAGTGGATGAAGGGAGACGTCGGACAGGGCAAGATATGACAAAATACCCATTTATAAACTATCAAGGGCTCATGCGGGAGGGGGGAGCGGGGAGGGAGGGGAAAAATGAGGACCTAATGTCGGGGGTTTAAATGGAGAGAAAATGTTTTGAGAAACGATGTACAAATGCGCTTTACACAATTGATGTGTGTATGGATTGGGATAACAGTTGTATGAGCCCCTAATAAAATGTTAAAAATAAATAAATAAATAAATAAATAGAAAATAACACACACACAAAAAGTCCTTAAAAAAAAAAAAGTTGTCCTTTCAGCACATCAACTTGTACTGACTAAGACAGTATGTAAAGGACATTAAGGATAAGCAAATATTCTGCATTGTATTCAATAAACCACAAAGCAAAACCAATACAGTTGAATAAAGCACATTTTGAAAGATTCTGGTATAGTTATGAAAGAATGTTAACCTGCAGAGTTAGACACACATGCCTTCATAAATTGTTCCTGTGGGTATGGTCTTCATAATTACCATATTAATAATTTTCTTTATAAAAGAAATATTCATTCATTGCACAAATACTCAAACTCACTGCCGACTCATAGTACCTTCCCTCTGGGACAGGGTAGAACTGTGAGCTTATAAGACTGCAACTCTTGAAAGGAGTAGAAAGGCCCTTCTCCCTCCTGCTTCATTACACGAGTGATGGGTTAAATTCCAAAAATAAAAATCATTCATAGTAGCACTACCTAGTGACCACCTATTGTAAGTCACCATTGTGACACATTTCCCTCTGGCCTTCCTGTGAGTGTGTACAATAGACACCATTTCCCTCTTCCTACCCCTCAACCAGGACCACACTGCATACGCTATCTGTTACTTTCTTCATTTACAACAGTTCTTGAACTTTTGGGGGGAGTGGAAAATTACTGAAAAGAAGGCAGTGATCACCAGACGATGCAGACGCCAGGCTTGGGAGAATTATTCCCTGAGAAAAACTGTCCTGGAGGCTTTGTGCTTCTGCCCTCCAGGCACGGCAGCCATAGTGGGAAGCCCACACCACTTAACGGGCACCCTGAAGACACACCAATAGGGATGCCTCCTTGTATCAGTCTAAGAGAGAAACGCAGCCTCCGAAGACTTCAGAAAGATGTTCAGTGTTACCCACTCACACTCTCTGACCCATACCCAAATCCAAACTCACGCCTTCGCGGCGATTCCAACTCACAGCGGCCCTGGAGGAAGGGGCAGAGCTGTAATTCTTTACAGGCGCGAAAAGCTTCATCTCTGTCCAGAGGACACTTCCCGACGGACTGCCCTTTTTCTTTACCCAACAGCAGCCCATCCCATATGTGTACCCCTGGGAAGTGGTTGGCACATCGTTGACACTTCAAGTGACTAGAAATTCACCGTTTCAGGAGACATCCTATCCCCGAGGCACGGCTCAGTTGTCCCTTACATGCTGCCGAAGTGGACCTTTCTGTCATTTTCATCTGCTGATCCCAGCTCTGCTCTTTGGAGTCTACCAACTCCTTTTCGATCATCACTATCTTCTAAAACACGGGTTTTCTTCTCTAGGAGAGAACGCTTGTTTCCTTCAGCAGATGTTACAGACTGTCAACTAACCTCCAGGCTGTGCTTTGGTTTTACAAACGGCCTCCAGGCAACACTTGGGACAAATGTCCACATTTCCTAAGATGAAGGCATCAACTGTAGAAAACGGTGTCCACGGTAACGCCTGTGACCCCAACCTCCTGGGTTTCACACCTATGTGGATGTATGGGGAGGGGCTTCTAACTGCGGGCCAACAGAAAATAGCAAAGATGAAGGAATGTCACTCCCTGAGTAATGCTACCGACTGTCTAACCCAGTGGTTCTCAACCTTCCTAATGCGCGACCCTTTCATACAGTT